TCCATTCTTTTATGGAAACGTAAAGATTTCTTTGCTTTATCTTGTACATTTACGGAGTCTAATGCCAACAATATCACATTGCTGCACATGTGAAACTGCGGCTCACGGAAATTATCTGCCGGCTTTGTGAAAGTCGCAATTCTGGTAATGTTAACATTTGTCAGTTCTGTGCCAAAAGTGTTTAACTGCGTTAGTTTTATGGCAAGGTTATGTAGATAGGAAGCTATCCCATTTATTGCACTATACGATAGTGAGTCGTCCGTATTCAGGGAATTATTATTTATAGATTATTAAATAGCATAGCTACAGTTTATTTAGTGATTAAGTATTTGCCTGTATCTATTACTGATAGGCAAGTGAAATAAATGGTTTCCTCAGACAGTGCGAGGATACGCACGTGAGAAGAAAATGTAGCACAATAGGATATTGTCGGTTTTAGCAGAGACGCACGCGCACGCTGTGAATAATTCAGCGCCTACAGTGTGTCACTGGTTTAGGAAGACAGCTGGCCCACATATTGTGGACTATTGTCTTGCATGTCGGCCAATGTAAGCAGTAAGGCTGATAGACTTCCAATTAGATAGAAATCTGACAAAAAAATAAGTGATAGGTGACCAAAACAAGAAGGAATCCGCAGTAACTGTTCATTACTGTAAGAGTGTAAGTAAGTGTGGAAAAGTCAAGTTTCGGCACGAATTGGTTGGCTCGACCGGAGTTATACCACAGCGTCACAGAAAACTGGCGTGAAACAACCACAGCGTCATGTTTCGCCGTGTGAGTGAGGTTACCCGAGGCCCAATCCCTCCTCCTCCCCTATGGATCCTAATCCTTAAATATCCGCAACCCTTATACCTATAAGACCGGCAACGTACTCGTAACTCCTTTGGTGTTGCGGGTGTCCTTGGGCGGCGCCCGATTGCTTACCATCAGGTAATGCGTCTGCTCGTTTGCCGTATATAATTTTCAATTTAATTACAAACGCAATTTATGAGATAAACGAAGCTGCGATATAAATATGTTCTCCACATGTAATCCAAGTACAGTTTTACAAACTAATAGTATTAAGGTCAAGAATTCTTTTCAAAGAGTCTGTCAGTAGCGACCTGCCTCCGTCAGGCCTGTTCTCCAATTTGTATGGAAGCGAGTACAAAGCATATATTTGAGTTGGAGAGCGCATTGTGTGCGATTGTTGTGGTGATGGGTGACCCCAGAGTTAGCCGTATTGGTTACAATGCCTTACTTGTGCCATATTTGTAGTTTCTGTTCAATGATCCGTTACCTAAACGAAGAAGGTCATGCATTTCTTACCAGTCATTGTAAGAATTTAAGATTAGAAAAGTATTTGAGCCAATTTGTGAAACCCGAATTATTAATTACTTAGATATTGATGTGTATTGATACAATAACTTGTTAAATGTTCATAAGTAATTATGTTAAGTAGTCTGGTCGTTCATTAATTGTTCTAATAATCCAATCCTTACTAATAAATTTTGCTACGGGATAAGAGCATTGTTCTTGTAGTTAGCACTGGAAGGATTGGTTGCGACTTTAGACGCCCTAGCTTTCAGGAGTTGCCGGTTGAAAAAGTGCAACAAGTACCGCCGTCAAGTACTACTCGAAGGTTGTCCTACATACTTTTGCGTTTTCTTTAAGAATTGCTTTTGTTTTCCCTCCAGCTGGGGCGCGTTCCAGCCGCGTGCGTGGTGATGCCGCCGCGGTATGCCACGCTGCCGCTGCCGCCCGCCACCTACGCGCCCGGCCCCGTCTACTACCCTGTGCACGATGCTGTGAGTACCCTACATGAAAACAAATACTATTGCAGTGCCTGCAGTACCTAAATGTATAATACCCGGACTAAGTAGTTTTGGGCAAGCTATCACGCATTGTTAATAATACAAGACTTCAAATTGGTACTTACCGTCATACTCTTTTTACTTTTTTATGGGATAGGTTGGCAAAGAAGCAGGCTAAGCTGATAAGTATCTCTCCTTTATAATGGAGCTCGAGAGCACTCGACTCTCAGGCTGGTCGCGTACGTCACAAGCAATTACTATTGAATATAAATTATTGAATATAAATATTAAAATCTATTTACCCATTTTGATGAAAACCTTTTGTGTCAGCGCATGCGCCGTCGTAGATCGCCGCGCGCGACCACGGAGCGGCGCCGGCGCGAGGGTCGTGAGCGCGACTCGCAGCTGGCGCGCTCGCTGGAGAGGATCCACCGCAAGCGGCGAGCTGACCGCGACCACATCACCGACGCAGACCTCAAGCGAACCTACACCGGACTTGATAGGTAATGCACTACTCTTTCACACTGTACCTAAATACTTTATCAGCCTGTACTGAACACAAACTTCTTAACATCCATCTACATCCAGTCGGGCCGAATCGTTGGAAGGGGCTGGTACTTTTTTACCGTATTAGCAGTATAGCTTGCTACTCATATGTGTTACGTCGACAATTTTCTAGTTTCTAGTCGTATAGTTGAAAATACTAGCAGTATTCTGATATAAGACGTGCAATGTTGCAGGGCATACGCGGAGCAGTTCATAGCGGTGTGTGACGAGAGCCGGCACGCGGCGGAGCAGCACGAATCGCTGGCCAGCACCTCCGCCACCAGCGACACCAGCCACTCGCACGAACTGGCCTAGCTGCACACTACTCCTGGGGTCTTACGGACTCCACTCCATCACACCATCAACCTATATGTGCCCACTGCTGAGCAAAGGCCTCTTCTCACACGGAGAAGGTTTTGAGTATTATTCACCTCGCTTGCTCAAGGTGGTGCGAGAGTCCAGGTTTCCTCACGATGTTTTCCTTTATCGTATGTCAATGGGGTCTAAATAACCACAGAACTGGTACTTGCCAGGTTTCGAACCTCCGGGCCACCACAACGTACGTTACGAACTCCAGTATCAGATAACATCGGTTTCACAAATAAAATAGTAAATAATCAGTCAACATTTCAGATATTCTTTGGTCTCCATAACATCCTCCATGTTAGCTTTTATCAGTCGCTGTAAAAATACAGGCCTAGGTCTCAGAATACCTTGAAATAGTAAAAATATCGTCAAATAATTATACGAACATGTAATATGTACATGAATACAATCACTAGCTCGTAAGATATTCTTTAAATACTCTTTAGATATTGAACTAACTGTAAGCCTATCATACCAAACTTAACAACTTAGCTCTGTAAGGTCGCAATACGTTAAGTTACATTGTAAATACTTGAACTAACTTTAAGTTACATACGGATTTATGACACTCACTCGTTTATAGTCAATACTGACCTACACAATATGATTCTTCTTGAATGATTAAATGCGCGCGCAAATGTATTGTTAAATAAATGCAAATGGCGTCGACCCGAACAGTTTATGCTATAAAATAAATAAGTGTACCATGTTTCCCTTGTTAAAATCGTTTCAAATCTTTACCATCATTGATCCATTTTATATATTTTATAGAACAGTTTGAAATCATTGCTTGGTTTTTACACAATTTTTCATAAATCATAATGTATTAATATTATTACTAACACTTGACTAATGATTAAATTGTAAACTTGTACGTATCGTCAAATATCTGTGTTATACTCTACTATAAGTCTTATTTATCTAGTTCTTAGTCATTACCTGTGACTATATTTCTCATAAAAATTAAGAGAAATTGTAAAGTCAGTTCCAATGACTGACTCAGATGTGAATGATCTTACATTCTTAATGATCATGAGAAATACTTCACAAGTATGTTTAGTTAGTATACATAATGTAGATATGACGTCGAGTATACGTGTGTACATATATTGTCAAAGTCCTATGTACCTAAACGGTGCCAAATTGTGAATTGGTTTTATTACTGCCACCCAAATTGTTGCTCAATGCTTCTATGTTATTGATTGGTTGTTACATAATTAGACTATTTTATTGGGTTTTTAAAGCCTAATAAATGATTTTATTTTCTGCTAAGCTATTTATACATATTATTAGTGTATATTTTTGTAGTTTTTCAACTAATTAGGGGTAAAATTTCTAAGGTCATGCTGTAAGCAGTTAAAATAGAAAAAGAACTCTTAGTTTTTTGTATAACTATATGTAGTTTTATCTAATTCTAGACTAGACCTATTGTACACTACAAAGCTAATAGATCTTCAATGTGTTGATTGAAGTTTTGTTAGAATGGTTATTATCAAATTCTACGGTATCCAAACCATACGTAAACTTTTTGTAAGAATCGTTTAGTTTTAAATCTAGATAGTAATAGATATTTTTATATACTTATTCTTTGTAAAACAAATACTTAGAGACTGTAATATATAGCTGTATGTAAATAAGCTCTCGGCAATGAGATGTATCATATTATGTTGTATCTTAATCTAAGTCTACGGGGTGTGGGAGTAGTGACTCGTGTCTGTCTGTCTGTAGGCTACGAGCGCGAGGGGTTATTTATTATGGACGGATATTGCTTGGGGAATGCGACGAATAAACATTACTTTTTATATAAAACACCGCTGTTTCATTTTGTTGTCAACCTGGTGGCTTCCACGTAGAAGTGAACAATGTTTTGTTATTTTTCAGGGAACAGGGAAAGTTTGTTGTAACAAGTTGCACATTGAAAAGAAAAAGTACAAGCAATTTAAACAGTTTATTATATCGACGAATAAGGTCCGCCGCTGATTGTGACTTTTTGTGACCGTAACTTTTGTTATGCGCTTTTGGGATACCCACGATACGCTCACTGAAAGTGTTCTGGAGTTACAAATAACACGCATTTGTGTAATGGATTTTAAAATGAAACAAGCAGAAAAAACTAACCAAATACCAATTGTGAGTAGACTCCCACAGGCATGTATACAGGTGGGTTGTCCGTCCCGCTGCAAATATTTGGAGGCACACTCTTTATCTTCATTGCAGTAAACTTAGTGGTAAAAAACTCACAATCAGTAGCGGGTGTAAATGACGGCGTAGCAAAGATACAAGTGTGGTATGTCCCTAGAACTCGTTGTCGCTGAGTGCGGGCGCGGCGCTGGCGCGCGGGCCGCGGCCGCTGGCGCGCGCGCTGCCGACGCGCAGCTCGCTGTCCGAGCTGCTGCCCAGCGAGTCCCCCGCCTCCACGCTCTCCACGCCTACACCATTACCGTCACTCTTTAATATTGCGACAAGGTAAACGATAATACAGTTAAGGCATAGTATTTTTCTTTATACTATGGTTAAGGGCTATTTTTTAAACATCAAATTAGGTGACCGATTACCTGATGATAGGCAATCAGCATGCCCGCATTGTCGATCTTTTGAGGATAAAGGGATTTGAGGATCTAGGGATTAAGGAGGTGGGGAAGGATTAGGCATCCGGTGAACTAAGGACCTTGTAAGTGCACACGACGCTGTGGTTGTTTTACGCGTGAGCTACCAGGCATGAATGGGCGGGCTATTTCATCCTCCGGATTTAGCAATCAGGTCGAGACGGCCCATTCATGCCAAAGTTTGGCTCTCCCACACTTAATGTTGGACTAATTGGGCTAATACATTATACTAGTCATCGAGTCATCGAGTCGACTGAAAAACTACCGTTGCCTAAAGGCAACAATCGCCTTTCGTTTACGTAACCTTAATGTTTGGGAGACAATGAGGATTGAAATAAAGCTACTGATAATTTTGTCATTGATAACATTTCAGCCAATTGGTTATTACTAATACCCTAGTGTTCGGAATAGATTGCTATTATAAAATATTAATCCTAATGTGGGTACTTCGTAATATCTTGATAACAAATATCTTATGGTGTACCCGCAAATTTAGATATATTTCAATAACGATGTAATATATGATGGTAGTGACTTATACGAACCTTCAATGAGATCAGCGAAGTCGTCATCATCAGCCGCGGCCAGCGTCCGCGTGGCGGGGCGCGGCCGGGCGCGGGACCAGCGGGACGGCATGTCGCCACCACCTACATACGTACACATCACTTTATATAGTACCCTGCCGGATTCCTAGATCATCTCTTCCGTACACACTTTATCCAGAGAGTCCAGATGAGAAGAAGGATGAGATTTGTATGGATTCAGGCTCAACATATAAAAAATATGAACAGTTAAAACGCTATTGGATAAGCCATGAAAATTATGAATACGATACCTTCATGTTCCAACAGTTTGATCTCTTCTGTTGTTTTCTCCGCTCTTTACAATAGACATGCAAGACTTACCCACATGTGGTGTATTTTACAGTTCAATGTATAGTCACTGTAGGTGTAGCGTGTGTGTGTTGGCTGTATGAGTGATAGCAATGCAAGCAAGTGACGCACCGAGCGCGCCGCCCGCGCCGCCCGCCGCCGCCGCGCCCTGCCCTGCGCCCGACAAACATACTGCTGTACTGGACCTACTAGTACTCCACCCACTGCACCACTTCACCTACTGCACCCATTAAAATGAACTCCATCTATTGCAATACTCATTTTGAAATTGCCCCCATTAGAATACTACACCTTCTACACATTGTTACTTTATTTTTGTTTGAGGTGGAATATCATCCATTTACTTCTCTCTGAGCGAAGCGAGAGGGAGTGTCAGACTCTTACTGACTAAAAACCACTCCGTTTCTTCTACTGTTCCAAGCCGGGGCGGAGGTACAATATTGCGCTTGCCTCACAACTCCGGCGGACCCATTACGATATCCATTATAATATTCCGCTCACTGTAATACTGCCTACTGCACACGTTACAATAATTCGCCGACTGACCCCCCCACCCCTACTATTGCTGTCATTGTTACTGCCATCGGCCATGCACAACAGCCTAGCGCAACTTAGAAGAAAAATAAAAATGTATGGGCTTGGCACGGCAAATAATGGCACACGGAAGTAGCCGGATATTGCCATCCCACTCCCTCAGTACAGTTCTCTTTCTTTCACTAATCCGTCGGCCATTTTGTTTGAAGTTTTGAACTTTGAATGTTGTTGCTTTTGTAAGTTTATGTTGTTATTTTCATAATTTCATAAATTTACGTATAATTTGTTTAGTTAATTAGTGGTTAGTGATACGGCTGTGACTAGTTACGTGTTCAAGTAAAATGCCACCAAAAAAACGGTTTCTAACTTGTGAAATCTGCGGAGGACGATCCGGTCGTAAAAATGGCGAGAAAAGGATGTTTATGGCGAAATTTCCTTTGGATGAGGACCGGTAAGCATTAAATGATATAATTTTATTTAATTCTAAGTATAAAAGGCTACAAATACATGTAAATTGATTTTCATGTACTTATTGTGTACTAGTGATGTACCTCAAGTATCGATAGTCACAGACTTATGTGTGGGCTAAACTCCAAAGATCCCTTGATTTATTTATTCTTTCGTGATTTACTTTCCAGACCACACCAAAGAAGTAATGATGTTATTAGATGTTGTTGAACAAAGTTGTCGGATTTTAAGAAATTAATGATTAAACGTAGATAAAAATTTATGTATACTGTATTCGTAAAATTTATGCATTTATTATATAAGGAACACCAGCTGTTTACACAATTTAGAGTTATTCATGTCAGGGACTGTCCATTTTGAATTTTTCCATTTTTCAGGTGCCGGCAGTGGGTGAAAGTTGTTGGCAAAGAAGATTTAGTGTATGTGCCCATAGAACCAATTTACTGAACCAATATATGTATTAAGTACTAGAGTCCACTTAATTTAAATAATTTTAGTTAGGTCCTTAACACACCGTCCGTATATAACATGAATTTGAATATTATTACAAAAATATATTTTTTAGTTTTTAATTATAACACAATGTTTTATTTCAAATCAGAACTTTATCTTAAAGATCGAAACTAAAAATTAAAAAGTAATATGACCTCGATTTCTACCCTATAAATATTATCGATATCGATACTAAACCTAGTATACAGCTACCACAGAACTATTTGGTCTTTTAGGTTGGTACTATTGATTTTGACGGCTGACATCTTTTATTTATTGCAATGTAGGTATTAGAGTGACGTGTAAATGGATTCCACTGGCTTGTATGGGAGTCCCGTCTCTTAAACGTAGTGGTTACATACTCTTTGATGCACAAGCTGAGCATAAGTATGAACTGCTGCAGGCAGGCATTCATGCACGATAGTAACCAATCAAATAAAAAAAAAGATGATTTTGTTAGAAAGTTAAGATAATAATTATCTACCAAGAATTAAAAAATTGCGAATTTTTATTTATGGAATATTGGCAGATTTAAACATGGAACTGTAACTATTTAGCCATGTAATGAATGAGAAATTTGAGTACAGTTAGAATGTGATGGTGACTTACTGGAAATGGATAGGTCCCCGAAGGCCTGCTTGTCGGAGAAGTCGGAGTCGGAGCGCGAGTCGTCCTCGTCGCGGATGTCGTCCAGCGAGTCGCGCGCCGCCATGCTGCCGAAGGCGCGCCGGGCCTCCGCCGCCACCGTGCCTAACCAGTACAATGTATGATAATCAGGGTAAAAATTACAAGTAGATAGCAGACATCGTTTTTACTCTTTTTTAATGGCATATTAAGGCAAACAAACAGAGACGGGGATCTGGTGGTAAGCAATTTGGCGCCTGTCATAGAGTCCCGCAACAATAGCGAAGTTATGAGGTGGTTTTTTGGCCTTTTGAGCAACGTGGTAAAATATTGAATATTAAAATATTGAATCTTTTGTCATCAATAACTATTGTTACGCCGAAACAGAAGACTTTTACCAGTTCTGGTGGAAAGAAAATTCGGGTTTTACTCGGTGTTCCAAGAAATTGTTTGGTCAAAAGGCAAGAATTACCTGCAGTCTTGATCCTCAGCCGTGTCTTGGGTCTGGTAGCAGGTCTGGGCTGCTTCACCTCGCTCAGCTCCTTGCCATCGTCGCTTGACTCCGAGTCATCTACACAACAACACAATTTGGTCAAACTAGTAAATTTATTAGACATAATTGATTTCTATCAATGATGTATAAAACTATAGATACGTTGTCCGCGCTCTAAAATGACAACATGCAATGAAGGCAATTGACAACATCGCGCTTAGTTACGCACCAACCTGCCGCGCGACGTTACGTTTGTTTTTAATTTATATCGTGTGTGTAAACCTGTGCGAAACATAAAGAAAGCATGCCGTCGTGTGTGTTCAGACGATGTACAAATTATACTCCAAAAGTTAAAGACAAAAATGTGTCATTTCATGCGTAAGTTCACCAAACAACCTATTTTTATTTTATTTTTTCGACGCCGGCGCCCGCCATCTTATGGCGGCCGGCGCATGAAGGTATAGTCACGTGCCGATGTAACTGAAGATGTATATTTATCTCCCTCTAGCAAAGGCATTCCACTATACGATGTCATATTTTCTTTCCCTTTCTTTACTCGTAGAAGTAGTTATCTAGTATTTTCGCCGTTTTTAAGCGCCGCGATGTTGGTTCATGACGTGTCTATATATAATACGTCATTGATTTCTATCTATCATTTCTAAAATTAACACAACAATATTTTCCGAGCAGATCGATTCCGATCGACCTGATGGTAAGCAATCGGCGCCGGCCATGGATATCCGCAACACTAGAGGAGTTACAGGTGCGTTACCAGCCTTTTGGGAATTTTGGGTTTAGGGATTCGGAGATTTAGGGATTGGAAGAGGAGATGAAGGATTGGGTCTCCGGTAACCGCACACGGCTAAGCACAATCCTTATCACATGCACATTACTCCCACAATCTGGGAGTAATGTGCATGTGAATTTGTATTTTTAGGACGACGACACAAGAGAAAATCCGAGTGTAGGGCATGGTTTTATGAAAAAACTCATCGCCAAAAAAGGATGTACCTATGCTTATAACTAACATTTTTAAACCACCTCATAACTCACCGGAGTCGCTGAGCTTCCCGAGCACGTCCTCAGCCTCGTACTTGTGTATGAGCTGCATTATGGCCGCCTGCTGCTCCTCCGCCGCCTGCAGGCAGCGCACTACTTACTATACGATCGTGACGCCATACTACCATTGCGAATATGTTTTTCTATAAGGGGCACAACGTGGTTTTCTTTCATTTATAACTTTGATTTTGTTATCGTGTCACAATTACAAATCCAGAAGACAAGATTTTTGTCAAATGAGTATTTAAAGTTTTAAATTACATTGCACATGATTTCTATACGTATAAATACATCAGTTGTGAACCCTCATCCTACTAATGTTAAAAACATTATTTCTAAATAGTTTTTTGTTTGGATATTTATTACTCTTTCGCATAAAAACTGCGAATGGAATCGATAAAAAGATAAATTACAATAAAGTTGTATAGATCCTACTGCAGGTGCAGGCGGAGCTGCTGGTATAAGCAAACTATAATATCCTTACACTTACTAGCGGCCCGCCCCTGCTTCGCATAGGTATCCAATTACCTCGCTAACAACAAAAAGGTCGCTATTTTCCTATTTACCTTTCCTTTTCCTAATATTAACAATCACAACAAAAAAGAATTACCTAAATTATTTCAAGCGTTGTTGAGTTAAGCGCCACGTTACCTAAATAGTAAAATAAAATAGATTATGCGTGTAGAAAATGTTCCCGACCTCTGCCTGCGCGGTCTCGAGCACGCTGAGCTGGTGTTTGAGCGCCTCCACGCAGCGGTAGCGCAGCACGTACTGCTCCCACAGCTGCTCGATCTCAGACTCCAGCGCCGTCAGCTCGCCCTGGTACGCAGGCCTAACAACCATCATCATAAACATATCAAATATTTAATGTTATATAAATACGAAAACTCTGTCATTGCTTAGCCTTTTTTTAATAAGATATTAGGCAATAAACGAGCGAAAAGGTCAATTGATGGAAAACAATCGGAATCACCTGTGGTCACTAGGAGTTAAAAGTTTGTTGCCAGTTTTTCAGGGATGGAAAAGATCGCGAATTGGGGATACAGAAATAAAGGGATGGGATGGGTGGCCAGGTTTGAACCTTTGGTAACCCAAGATATGGCAAAACACAATGCAAGCGTTATTTTATAGGAGGCAGTGGTCACTTCAGTCGGACCCACTCATTCGTGCCTAAGCATCGACGTTCAACAACACAGCAATGATTTAAGTGTAATAGCAATCCTCACTTGATTTTCTGCACAGTATGGAGCCTCTTCTCAGCGCGGACGAGCTCAGCGCGCTTCCGCTCGAGCTTGGCGTCGAGCGCGGCCTCGCTGGCGGCCACGTTGTCGATGTGGTCGCGCGCCGCCGCCACCTGCGCCGCCACCGCCTCCAGCGCGCGCCGCAGGCTGCCCTCCATGCCCGACATGTCCAGCGGACGGGACAGGGCCTGCTCGCGTGCCTCCTGGACCCAATTTTATTGTTTAATATGTTTTCGCACTGTCACATCATCATCGTCAACCTGTAAGTGCCGACTGCTAAACAAAAACCTCTTCTGACGAAGAAGGTTTGATTTGTAACTTACAATTAAATTATTTTGCAAAGAATTTCTTACTAGGTTTTCCTTCACTGTTTTTCAGTGGTGTCTAGATTAACTTTGAAAGTTTATATAACTCAGAAGAAGTCACTTTGATACTTCACTTGTGTTGTCTTTATAGCGGTCGGATGGCATTATGGGCCCCGATAAATTAATGCCCTAATGCTACTGAGCACAAAATATTGAAGCATAGAGAAGCTGTCTGGATAAACAAACCTTATTTTCTGCCTCCTTAGCTAGTAAATCGTAGAGGAAAGCTCCCTGAGCGGTTATATCGGTCGCCAGAGCACGTGCTTGTTTGATCTCGCCCAGCTGAAAACACGATGTTAGTATGTTGTATGTTATTTATAACTTTTACATTGATGAGAATGCATGGTAAACAAATAAATATATACTTATTAGACATTATAGCACTTATTAGGTACCTACGATACTACCGCGAGAAGGTATTCTATTAAAAATATTATATATTATAATATATCCTTGTAGCGACATCTATCGCACAACATTGACAACAGCATCAATCACGTGCAAGCTTCTACATTGCGCTATAAGAGTTTACAACACAATTAGCACTGATACAGTATCCCGACAACGATCGTCGGGCAGTAGCCCACCAGGCACGAACACCTCGCCTGGTCGGAGGATCCTCCCTTTTCAATGGAGGATGAGGAACTTTCCACCCTGTTTCTTATACCTCTAAATCCTTTTCGTTTTAAAACTACTAGGTTCTAGGATGTCCTCGTGTCACGGGTGCGTTTACTAATATACGATTTTACATACAAGTCACACCCAAACCCGGAAACCCATATTATTGTTCGCACAAACAGTTGTTCCATGTGCAGGAATACAACACATTTCTTTCAATAATAATGTTCTAGGTAGGTACTAATTAAACATTTTGAAAAAGAACAGAGTTCGTTATGAAAGCCTCTGTTCTTCTTACTCCATAAACAGCATTAAGATTAAGAAGTCAAGTTACCCGGCTGGTGAAGTCGTAGCTGAGCGGCGAGCTGTCGTGTTGGGGGTCGTCGGCGGCGGGCGCGTCGAGCGCGGCGCGCAGCATGCTGGCCACCTTCATCAGCTCGCGCACCGCCCACCCGTCCGCGCCGTACACACGCTTGCCGTTCAGTTTTATGTTGGCGCGTGAGTGCTAGGACCACACAATTTTTGTACTAACATTCTTTATATATAGGTCATTTATCTATTATCAGAACCGCTGGAAATATTTTCTGGAGTCTATGTCCCCGAAAGACCTAGGTATCTTCAAGGCCTGAGTAAATAGGTTGCTTATGGTAGGTGAGCTCCATCGTAGGTCGCATCATCACTTACTACCAGGCGTGATATCAGCCAAATGCATGCACATTACCAAATAAAAACCAACATTTCTTTTGTATGTAGTTAAATGCACTAAATACAGCAAATGGATAGGTGAACAATACCAGTAAACCACTTGGTCTGCTAATTGTTCAAGTTAAAACATAATGAACAACTAAATATACTTACGAAGAGCGCGATGGCATGTGTAACGAGTGCTACCCGTTGTTCCACGGTCTGCTTGCCCCCTCCCAGCTCCGCGTCAGGCTCCACCCTGGCAGCCAGCCAGCGGAGACACTCCTCCATGAGGTCCCAGTTAGGAGTCCTAAAGCTCTCCAAAGAGATTGGCTTCGGGAAACCAAGTACACGCATGGCTTCACTAAAATCTTAAAATATCAAATGAAAACCGGTAAGTCTAAATATTCTAATCACTATTTATTTTATATCCGAATTATATTATTAATACGTACTCCTCAAATCCCTATAAGACATAGTAGAAAATAAATTTTGTTCTTTAAAAATTCTTCAGTATTACAACTTCGTCAAATAAAACGCTTTGTTTATTTTTCTGCGTTGCTATGACAACGGCGTCAGGACAACCAAAGTGTATTAAAAAATGTACTCTGACTCTGTGGTGTATTCGTTTTTTTTTCATTGTTTATAGGTATGTAACGGCCTGTGTGAGAAATGATATGGAAGACAGAGGAGTCAGTGATAGCGTGATAGGTGACAGCCCAGAATGGAAGAAAAAAAAATTGCACCGACCCCAAATCAAACTGGACAAGGGCAGGAAGATGATGATATGTAACGGCCTGTTTATAATGTACACAAATGTAGAAGAAGGTTTAACAAAATTTGGTACCTACTTCTTACGAATCTTTAGGTACTAATATTATAAAGAGGTAAAATTTGTAAGTTTGTATGTTTGTAAGTTTGTATGTAGGGAGTAAGCTTTGGAACCGCTGGTCGGATTTCCAAAATTCTTTCACTGATAAATAGCTACAATGTTCCTGAGTGCTTATAGGCTATAAAACATCACGCTACGATTAAATGGAGCCGAGCATCGGGTGAAACAGCGAGAGTAGCTAGTAATAGATACTACGCTATCACCTACCACATGCCCACTACATATGTATTTATGTATCAAAATAAAACCACGGAAGTTGGAATATTTTTCTAAGATTTATTATTTTATAACTATTACTACATACAAGATACGGTAGCATACGGGCAGACTATTATCTTATGGTAAGTAATCGGAGCCGCGCGTGCCGGAGTTACAAGTGCATAGTCGGCGTTTTGCGGATTAAGGTTTCATAGATTTAGGGATTGAGGTGAGATGAGAGGAGAGCTCCCCCGTAACTTTACTCACATGGCGAAACACAATGCTGTGGATCTTTTACGCCGGTTTTCTGTGAGGTCGTAGTGTCACTCCGGTCGAACCAAAGCTTGGCTCTCCTATACTTATTATACAAGTTATAGAAGACATGAATAACGAAGCTATCTTACTTATTATAGGTTATAAACAGCTCCGAGGGCCTACGTATTTATTATACCAAGTATTTAATATTCTTATTGTATTACTAAACTACTTCTTACGAAGTACGATTACATTTTGCATTGACTTAATCTAAGGTAGAATTTTATTTTTATTAATCCAATATTAAATTGAGCATACGAAACATTTATACGTTAGTAACGTTGTATAAATGTTGTTTGACTGTTCAAATAGTTCTTCATGCGTTTACATAACTACAGTTGCAAAGTTCCTGTCAAAAAAATAAAGAGATATTTTTTGTTACAATTTGCTCAAATTTTTTTATAAGGCGCTAACCATTGCGACGGATAGGGTGTTAGTTAAGTCGCCATTTTAAGATTTTATTTCAGTTTCACGTTTATTTTCAGTACCTTATGTTCTGACTTTCCCATAGTTTTATTTATTCATCCATCCTTTATCCATCTTATATGAAATCATTTAATACATAAACTTAATTCGTAATAATACTGTGCAAGCACAAGTTATAACAAAATAAAGACACAAAGTAACTAAACAACTATATTATATTAAGAAGTAACTATAAAACAGTCAAACTTTACGGCCGAGCTGAACTTCCGAGATTACTGTCCATACCTCACAGTTGACACAAATACTGTAAAAAAGCTTAATTAATTTTTTACCAGCCAATTTATCAACTAATGAGGTTGACAGGTACTTTATATTTTAATTTGAAAGTCTCTCAGAGTTCAGCACGTGTGCAGGCCGTGCATGCCCAATTTAATAGAAAAATCATAAGTCTATAGTGGGCGACTGCCGCATGGCGCGCTTTAGGGACTCCTCGCGCTTGACTGCAACTCGCATGCGCGCCGCTTTCAGATGTCTGAAACAAATATTTTTAAGTATTACAACGTAATCTGAAAGAATATAAGAATTCATATAGAGGAACCAATATTGTTGTGTTAAAAAATATTTATACATTAAGAGTGTTTAAGATGCATGTCATTCCATAACAATTTTAAAGTCCAATATCATGAAAACTATTGAACTGATTTAATAAAGCATGGCACTCAACTAATATTATATTTCATGGTCTGAAAACTTAATTAAGCCTTGGACTGCTGACAGAAAACTATTGAAGGCATAGGTCACTAGAAACATCCACGGTGAATAACATATTGAGTATGTTTTCGAAAAAAGTTTTGAGAGAATTGACATACAAACGTAAAATCGCGAATAAGTGCTTGATTTAAGAACATGTCGTAAATGTACTTAGAAGAATTTACAACAAAACAAATTTATTAGATTTTATTAGAAGTGTCAAGTTTCTTTAAAACTGTTGTATGGAAACCCATGCAGTGCAAATACTCTTAGTGCTGGTTATCATCTGATGGTAATGCAAGAGTGTTTCAAGGATGTAAGGATGTAAGTGGGACAGGTTGAATGTTTTATTATGTATTTGGCTCTTCTTATGCTAAGCCTGTAATGATTATGTGACAAATTTTTGGTTAGATGTAAACCAAACCCTAATAGTTCTTAACTATACCATCACACAGACACATTTTTGTTTGTCAAGCAAGTGCTTATATCTATATTTATTCTTGGAATAAATTAATGTTTCGTCCTTAAGTTACCTTTGTCTAATTCGCTCCACAGTTTCAGGAGCAGGTTCTCGCTTGGTGACAGCTGCCTCACGGATTATTTTACGAAGTTTTTGCATACAGTCTGCCAAGTTTAACTGTTGAGATCTGGTTGTGTCCGATCTGATGATTAAGTAGCCCTCCTTAGACAGCTTATTGGCAAACTGGAAAAAAGTCATTAAGTGTTATAGGGTTTGTATTCATGTTGATGATTATAAACAAGAAATGGTATAGAACCTTAATTTAGTAAGCAAATCCTACAGAAAATAAATAATGATTGATTGAACTGTAAATATTACCTGTTCCATTAATTTAGCTTTGATGTCAGGATGAAGCCAGTCAGCTTCACTGGGTTTAAAGCGCACATCAACTTTGGTGTGCACCTATAAATAAATAGAGATATTCAATTATTATACCTGAATTAACATGATACATTACCTAAATCCTAATGCAAAGAGCTAATCAAAATATCTAATTATAGATGTTGTATTAACAAATATACCTTGTTGACATTCTGTCCTCCAGGTCCAGAGCTAGCGCTGTACGTAATATCTAGTTTGTCGATGGGTATAAAGCCTGAGAACTTCTCATTCGTTTCTGGCTGCTGTAAAATAAATAAGTTGATGTAAATACGAGTGAAATCATTTTCAACACTAATTAAATGTAAAGAAAACTTACAAATGCAGGTGTCGTAATCTTCAACGAGCTATTTGGGTACAAAGTTTCTAAAGAAATAGAGCTTTTATATGCCATAGGCCTCTTCAGCAGAGTAGTGTAGGTTGCGGTTTGTACCACTTTGCGGAGAAAATTAAAACGTAATGGTGCAAAAGCCATGATTTTAGTTTATTATGACACTTATCACTTCACGCTTAATTTATTTAGTTATTTTTAACACATTATTTACTCGAATGTCGAATCTTAGAATTTACCCAACATAACCTCTTTTCTGAATAATGTCAAAGTCAGAATGATACACACTGTCAAGTTACTGACATAACTTTAAACGTTCTGAAATCAATGTAAGAAAATATTCAAAAGCGATGTTATGTTTTTGTTTGTATGTATTTAGATTTTAGTAAATGTACTGCCGAAGCAAGTACTTGTATGTATTTAGATAACACTCGTATTGATATAATAACTTTTAGCAGCAAGCAGATTTTAAGAAAATCCAATATGCATTTAATCCCTACGCCTAATAGCGGTAAAATTCCTAACCAGAACTCACTTCGAGATAAAATTAATATAATGTAATATCACGCCTATACGCCTGATTCGAGTTGATATAGATAGCCGGTTTAGCCAAGTACCTGTATGTAGACTGCCTACTTTTTGTAGTTAACAAAACTGCTAGTTTTAGAAAAAACATAAAGCATAAAATACGTGCGCATGTTATGCTCCAGATAATTTAATTAGGATCCCGTTCCGCTTAGCAGCGTCCTCTCCAATTCTGTAGGAAAATTTAGACAAGCATAACTTTAAACGAAGTTCACTTCTTTCCTTTGATAGAATAGAAGGTATATGTAAGCCGTAAGCCGTAATAGGCTTAGTTTACGGTTACAACTACTGTATGTTGTATATGTATACCTATGGTAGGTTTAAATACTGAAATATACCATATTTTAAGTGTGGGAGAGCCATGCTTCGGCACGAATGGGTCGGCTCGACCGGAGTGATACCACGGCCTCACAGAAAACCGGCGTGAAACAACCACAGCGTTGTGTTTCGCCGTGTGAGTGAGGTTACCGGAGGCCCAATCCTTCCCCTCCCCCAATCCCTCCTCAATCCCTAAATCTCCAAATCCCTAATTCCTAAAGGGTCGGCAACTCAATCGTACCTACCTAACTCCTCCGTTGCGGGTGTCCATGGGCGGCGCTGATTGCTTACCACCAGGTAATCCGTCTGCTCGTTTACCGATCTATTACCTAAAAAAAAAAATTTGGGCGTTCCATCTAAATATTCTTTTGGTACCTAAGTATTTTCATTCGCAATATTCAGTAACACTTCTTAGTAAACTGACACATTTGTCTGGACTGTAAAAGAGACTAGGTTTGTTTCCGTTGTAGTGTATACCTATAGTTCTAAGTTCGCATATATCAATGTATCTTACTCGTGTATTTGAATATCAATCCTTATTAATAAAAGTCAGTATTTAATCAGCAGTCAAGTGTTTTACTCAATACAATCCTTACATATACACTACACTACACATTTCTTCTATGGGTAGTCAGACAGCTCATACTCACCTCATCTCTTTTTAATTTTTATGTGATTTAAAGCTACTTTATGGCCTATTTACAAAAATAAATTCGTTGTTTTATTGTTTAAAACGCATAGAGCCAGTTATGTTGTATTTTACACACACCGGCCACATTTACATAAAACCACTGCAACTCCTGCGCCTACCAACGCTGGATCTATAATAGATGCAACCAACACCAAAACGCTGAAGGATATAAAAACTCTTGGATACCGCAATTCAAAAATCAGAAGATGAATGTAGATCTGTAGCATAGTATAAAAATATTATACTGTGTCTGTAGACAGCAGTATACCTACCATCTACACCAACCCTATAGTTGGGAAAAACCTATTCTACTGTTACCTACCCTCCTCTCATAGTCACCAAGTGTGGGAGAGCTTCGGTTCGATTGGGTCGGTTCGACCGGAGTGATACCACGGCCTCACAGAAAACCGGCTTGAAACAACGCTGTGGTCTGGAAGCCCAATCCTTTCTCTCCCCGTATCCCTCCCAGATTAAGGAAAAAGGAAAAACAGAAAGAGGAAAGCGTAGGTATCAACAACAATATTCAAATTTTTATTAGTGGTTTATCTATCTACTTAGGCGGCTTTACCTCGAAATACCAGTGTATCGGTAATTCTTCATTATCGATAGATCGACGATGCGGATTATTATGTGCAATTAGCTATCTAATTTACTGCGTGAGGCGTCAAAGAATTCGCTCTGAATAGATAAGCGAGTAAGTAAGTACACCTTACTAATTGAAATAAATTGCTATGGAAACGCACGAATACACACGCAGCATGCAAAATAAATACCTCTCTGTAATGTCAAGCGGTCAGACAAATATAAAATGCAGCGCATTACGAGTGTTTAAATTCGTAGTGCGCTAAATTCTAGCCAGGATTGTGCAAATTGTGCTAAATCCTAAATGTCTCCTCGAAATAAATAAATACCTAGGCACATGCTGTGGTTATCTACTCGTGTAAACGCGAATTGTATAGGATATTGATTTTCCTGCCGTCATTTCTTTTTTAATTTGGTAGATGTATCGAAACATACACACTCACTTTGTGCATTTTTTTTTTGGAGTTTGTGGCCTAGATCAATTTGTTAATATGTATAATAAACCATAGATAATGTAAATAATTAGCACTTAAGTAGGTATATTTTTTATGATTTTTAAGCATTTTAATTTAATTTTATTACCTACACTTTCCCAAAATGTCCATACTTCGCATTGGCTACACTCAATTTTTTTGCCGCCACATTGCCACCTATAGCTTACAATGCGCCGGTTTTTTACTCGTCAGCGATTTTTCAGATTTCTGCGAAATGCATTACAGTATATTTGAAAACATCAGAAAAATAGCAAGTACCTATTAATGTGACTGTAAGAGGACTCAACAGGTAACTGTGTTGTAGGTACACGAAATAAATTTACTGATAATGGGTATTCCAGGTCCCATTACTTTACTTAGTACCTTACCTTAGTACTTTTTTAGCTACAGAAATATTTTTATAGATTATCTTTAAGGTCTATCAGTAGGACTGCTTAACCTGAAAATGGTCTGATAGGCAGTAGGTAAACCATCTACAAAATATTATTGAGATAGTGCCTACCTATTTGCGGTATCCATCAAATAACAACATGTGGCACATCAATATAGCAAGGTTGCTGAGATGAGGCTTTCCGTGAGCAAGTGAATTATTCGGAAATCTTAATTTTACTTAGTATTGCGGTAATTAAGCGGATACTTAATCCGCAGCGCAGTGCGCACAAAACTCGCGTTACAATAGATACGCTACTGCTTTCATCAATTATGATAATGGCGCGGTGAGGTGCGCCGGCGCACGCGACACCAAGCCATCGGCTTTCCTAATTCCGAGGTTTAACGAGGCTTGTCATCGTAAATTCGATGTTTATATGGATTATAATTGCATGAGACATGTCCTCGAGCTGGTAATACGCGAGAAACTGGAGGTGGTTAGCAAGTCATGAATACTAACCTCCGCGTATTTACTCGTACATCGATGTTTCTGGATTTCTAATAACAATTGCTCGCTAGAGAGCACTATCTATGAGTATTTTCAATAAATCTTTATTACCGAGTCATGATCGCTCTGCAAAGTATCGAGAAAGCTTTCGATTGCATTATAATTTCTCCTGATTGATCGCGAATAATAAAAATGCTAGTCATCAAACGGAAATCACATTGTTTCATTTAGATGCTTGCTTTCAGAGACATTTTTAATATTTTTTAATATCATAATTTACAGCTTTCTTCTATAAAATTCTTAATTATTTTTCATCAGAAATCGGATTACTCGGTTACTGTACGGTAGGTACGTAGCCATATAACTGTTTATGTCTTTACAAAATGGCCTATCATAAGAAACAGTGTTTCAGTAGACTTGTGTGTAGGACTTTGATCAAATAAGTCGTAGGTACTTAGGTACATCATTCATAAAGGATTTCTACATGTAAACTATTTCGCTGCGTTCGAAGCATGGCAATAGCGCAATTTCTATGAATCATATAAGTCAAAATGAAAGCGCATAATGAAATTAAAATAGTGAACATTAAACATTCTTAATTAAATCGCTCACATACCGAAATTGCGGCGTCTTCACGCTCTTCTTGGTTGGCCTACAATAAACAGGTAATTAAGTTGAACCCTGAAAACGATCGCAGCGCCCCCGCATCGTCCTCGCTCAGTGAGTGGCTGCGAGGTGAGGTGGACCAAGTTAGGCTGGGCAGATAATTACTGAGAAACGAGAACATTTTACAAGTTTAACGGGAGAAGTAGCAGTGATAATTGGTGTCTGATGAAGACGTTTTATATATCCCGCTACGCTTTCGGTAATATTTATTACTTATTTTGTAAAGTGCTTATGAGATCGAGAGCATTGTTCGGTAATGAACTGTATAGTTATAATCTGCCTTTTTATTTTATACTACAGTTATATTTATGTGATATTGAACGATCATAGCCTAAAACGGAATTTAAGACTTCCGTCAACGAAAACGTTCGTCTGTAAAATGGACAGATAAACAAAGCAATAGTTATTACTTATAAATATTACCAGCGACTGTCTGGGAATGCAATTTTATTGCAGTTTTCGCACGCAACTTTTACCATCGACTACAGGTATACATAGTAGTTGCTGCGTTTACCATTATATCTTACCTCAGTCGAGGTGGCAAGACGCCATCATGAAGACATGTTTACTGTCAAAATTATTATTTTATCAAACATAGCGTAATGTTACGTTTCATACGTTTTCATAAGATTCCGTTGTTTGGATAGTAGAGCAGCCACATAGTGAGTGCTGCTGATCATACAATAACTCATGTTTCATAACAAGTTCCGTTTTCCCAGGGCCAGGTGGAACAGTATACAATACGTAATTAAACCTCCGACATAGGTCAGTACCTGCCTAACTTAAGCACTTTTTAACAGTTATAGACGTCGTATTTATAAGCGCCTACATCAGTCAACTTCCCTTCGTCTTGTGTCTTTTGTTTTTTTTTTACGGTTAATAAGCAACAATTCTTTGTCATAAGTGTTGTAGAATGTTGATTTAAAATGTCGTCATTATGTCGAGACTCACAAGACTAATGTACCTGGTGCTGTTTATAATGTACGCCACCGATAAATCTAAGATCATTGATAAGCCAACATTCCATCATAACAATATCACCTACTTACTTAACATGGTTGATCTAAACCACTGCTGCAAAGAAGCCTTAGAATATTCAATAGGAAGATAGGAAACTTCATTGTTTCTTGGCAAACGAGGTGGAAAACAGCCATGAGAAACATCAAACATATCTCAACAAGTTGATAGACGCAATTACAGACAGCCGCTGACATACAAATGATATCCCTCACTCTGTTCTCGATGGAAACAATCACAGATTACATAATTAGCACCTTTCTCTTACTCTACAACTGCTTATTGTTCCGCGTCGCAATCTGAAGCGGCTAACTGACGATATTTGCATTCTTACGGCCACTAAAGTTACCAATTTACCCCAACCTAGCATTAGAAACTACTAAACATGTTACCTAAAGAGCAATGATTTCAGATTACTGTGACTACAGAGAAAGGTGAATTATTGGCAAATCAAATGTCAGGCATTCAAACTCCGCAACTGTTGTGGGTGAAACTTAGCACCTTTGAGCTTTGCCCCATTATATTTGTGTGGATATCGTGTAAGTGAGAATAAGACTTTTCCTTGTTATAACCACTTTAGCAACTACAAGTTTACCTTAAGAGACCCTAACTTTGTTTTCACAATCGCACAAAGTCATACTATGTATTATGTAGATAAGTTTATATGTTGATGATCTTATCTTGATGACTTGCGATCACTCGGTGTCTGCGTTCCCCTCAGGAATGTAGTTACCATCACTTTGTCACCACCTCACAACATAATGACCGGCCCCATTCCTCCCGCCGAGATCTCAAGACGCCAGCTATCAGGAGCATCCAAGCTGCGTGCTATCTCGCCATCTTTCCGCCTGTACACGTGGACGATGCTATCTCACGCGCAGACTTAACGCATTGCACTAGAAATCACCGGATCAAACGGACATTTGTATAATTTGAGCGTAAAATTAATTTATTGTTAATTTATCTTTACGGAGCTGAGACAAGTAGGTCGGTAATATATTATATTGTTCTTGAGGTGTTAGTGTTGGTATTCATTTTACGATTGGACTTTAAAAGCCGTGGCCATTCTAGTGCTAATGCCTGCCAACCGAAAAGATTGCAGATTAGGTAATCTCTTAAGTGGATAGTCACGAAATTAAATTCAGATTATAAATGCAGCGAATAACCATATGATTGTGACTGGTGAAATAAGTTACCTAAATATATGTATCGGATTAATGTTCTCGTGTTCCTGAAACGTGCAGATGGTGACGTGACCATAGAGCGTGGCGGAGACATAGCGAATGATGACTCAGCTCTGATTTACGATACGAGGAGCTTGGGGATGAGGAATTCGCAGCAACGTGATGAGTTGTGGAACACCGCTGAGGAAATTATGTGGACACGGATAAATTATTAGCTAATTACGGCATTTTTTCTTTTATGACTTTTCTGCAATTACTATGGAATCCAATAATCATATTTTTTTTCTACACGCGATCACACACTTCATTTCGTGTATTTAGGTTACCTACCTGTTTTAAAGCGACTTCCATAAATACACAACTATAATAGTAAAAAACAATTAGTAAGAATCCACAAAGTAATAAATGGACAAAACTTTTTGTTGAAGGACCGGTTGCAAAAAATTTCTGAAAAATTTATAAAAACCACAATCCACTACACTTCTCTTCTTGCTCTTTCTCCTTAGAGGCTACCATAGCCTCAAAATGTTGTAAGTGTGTGTTGCAGTATCAGTTGACTACATAACTGCCAGAATTGATCGCCGATATCACCAACAACTGCTCGCTACAATAGTCTCTCACGTAGCTACATAGGTACCTACTTCCTTATAACGTAGTAGTACGCAAATTGCAGCAGGCATGTCTGACACTGGTCGTAAATTCGCACGCTCCATCAGCTTCACGTCCGCGGTATCTGCCGTGCTTCAATGGACTCCTAATGGCTTGTTACGAGGGAAAAACTTATGAGCTACAATCTAACATTCCCATAGCCTTTTAAGTGTATTTTGTTTAAAACCGTAGATGTATAACTTTAAAGCCGATTTCAAGACCAATCTGAACATGACATTATGTCAATAGAACTGGAATTGTGCGAATGGGCCGTTTCTTTCTTAGTTTACTTAATATTGTAAGGGACGAGCTGTTTTTCTTGTAATTACGTGTTGCTGAGACCACACTCGTCGCACAGGAAGCAGTTTCCCATAACTCAGAGAGAATACATAATTATCCGCAAGCAGCGACTAAACTGCTGTATTTTGTGGTCACACCTAGTTGCTGCTAGCTAACCGCCATCGCTACTGCCGACAGCTGCTAACCAGGACTGCCGTTTACGTAGACACCACTCTGCAGATTAATAACCTAACTCGTGCTACAGTAGGCCAGTGTTACTAATATAATTCATTTTATTTCGTCCTAGTTATCACGGAGAACAAGGAAAACGGTCGTAGCAAACACGAATGCTTGTAACGTTATAAACAAGAAACGAATAATATCATGAATAGTAATGAATTACATAAAATGCGGTGGGGTGTGAAGTGCCCTGCCCACGTTAGGCACTCGTTACAAGTCTGTAACCTGAGCTTAGGAGCGCCGGGCAGCGGTTAAACTAGGTGTGACCTACCGCTTAGCTCACGTCACAGTCAGATACAAAGGAAAATCTAACTGTTTATGGTTTTCAGGGCTGTTATCTGAAACTCCAAAATGTGAAGTCTTAAAAGGTGATCGACAGTGGGTAACATAAACCAGTACCACGACTTTCGAACGCGCCTTCCACCGTAAAAACTCCGTTTTGCATCTTAGTTATTTGAACCGAAGAGAATATGTTCCTAATGAATATTGTATTAGTAATCCTTTACACTAAAGATTGTACATTAGTTCCGAATTTCGTGAAATTGATTCAAACCTGGGATTAATTTGAGTATAGGTAGATATCTACCTACCTCTGCCTTTAGCAACGCACGTTTTGTTGACGAAATTGAAAACGCAGAAAATTGGACAACGTAGACGTGACCAAAAAAAATGAACAGTTTAGGTACCGTATCTATGACTTTTTTTCGAAGGAGGAGGAACGAGTCCTAAAACTTTATGAAATTGTAACCTATGTACATATACAGCACAATGGATTTTAAATTAAATGTTATACATAATAACCAAGTCAAATCTTAGCAACGACCAACCTGACTAGTTAATTTTGTTTTAGTTATGTACCAACTACTTAAGTAAATACCTACCTATCTACCTAAAAATCTATATGATCTAAGGCTGTATGAATTAATGATGCACATGCACCTTAAATCTATGGTAGGTACATGTTACACTGTTACAGTTTTTAATTGATTTTATTTGTAATCTTTATTATTCTTTTTCCGTGTTGTCCCTGTATAAAATGATTCATCATTATTAAAGATTAGAATTATTATTTAAATACAGAAACAAAAACTTGCGGGAAAAAGTAATAGTTTAAGAACTTTCTAGTTACGGATACGGATTTTTAGTTAGGTACCGTTAATACGTTAATTAATGCATACGATTACGACCGTTTCGTTTTTATGATTTAAAGTCGAAATTAATTATGAACATGAACCTTTTTGAACTTTCACGGGCAAATCCTTATTGTTCAATCTGTCTAACTATTGGGCGACTACAGACGCTCGAACTCATATTGGATTCTTATTGGAGCAATTTCTAACGGGGCTTCCGCAGCTGCATTCACTCGCGTCCCTGCCGCCGCACGCATAGCGCCATCTTCAAACCGGTCAGTCCACCGCGAACTACCGTGGGGGTAACGTTGTTGTCGCAACGAATTACGTTAATTTATCTACACCGGACTAAACCGAACCGGTACACACAATTATACATAATAATAGATTTTATAAATAAAAACCAGTGTCAAGTTAATTCATGAAGTGTTAGACTGAATCTGCCGTTCGCGAATATAGTGCAACCTGTGATTTGATCTCGCGATCTCCCGGCTGCATTTCTTTGGTGGTGTGAGTTTGCTGAAGTGTAAAAAGGTAAGTTTTTATGTTATTATCGGTAGAATGTGCCGGTCGGGTGCGGAGGCGGCCGGCGGCCGGGCCGTGCCGGGCGGGCGCGCCGCTGGGGGAGCTAGCGACTCCCGCGAATCGATTGTCCCGGCATGGGATGGGTAGCGACTAGCGATAGGTATAGCTGAGCGAGCGACGAGCGGCCCGCAGCCCTCGGGCAGTCGGGCTGCACACCCTCGCTCTCTCGTGCTCGCCACTCGCTGTATGCGCCGTTTCATGTGCTGATCTTGAACTAGCCAGACGCCTAGTGCCTAGCGCCTAGTGCATAGACACGCCGTGCTGGTTATGTTATGTGTATGAATTATTTATAAACACTTCTCCTCGCCGCTGTTGTTTTTCCAGCTGCGCTCAGGTGGGTAAACCTATCTACGTGGTTGAACTCCACAAACTAGGTAGGTATGTAACTACAGATTCACGCCATGTACCTACCCACATTCTGCAGTGTTGTTAAAAACATAGCAATTATTTTCTTATTAGAATTTTGAATACCTATTCTGTTGCCTACTGAAAACCTCATGTAGTAAGGAGTGTACCCAGTTTTTTCCGACCATACACTCATCTTTATGTACCTACTTTATGAACCTTCCTACGTAGCTGAAAGCAGAAAGACGTTCACAGTCACACGGAGTCCTCATTCATACGATGAACTAACATAGATTTTTTCTCTTGTCGTTAGTACGAACAAGGATTAAGGCAATATATTGTAAAAAAAAACTACGTTTAAAAAAACCGACTTCAAAAACAAAAAAGTGTCAAATAAGTAATTAAAATGGATATTTTAATAGCACTCTTACGTACGCGAAGCTAATACTTTTAATATTAATAATAAAACACTATCAATTCTATGTGCTACCTATTCATAGGTTTGAAGTCGGTGCCAAGCCTAATACATAATATAATAAGCATGATTACATGAGTACCAAAACTCGCCGGGCGCGTTTGAATTTGTTGGTTAGGATTTAAGAAATTTAGTACCGATTTTCTAACTTGATGGCGTTAGCGTAGAATCAGAAGTCTATATGGTTTCGTTACCGGCGAAACTGTATATAGGTTAAAAAGATATTTGGATGAATTATGAATTCTGAAAGTTTTCTCGTACTTGGTTGTTAAAAGTAAGTAGTAGGTAGCTGCGTTGTTAGTTGTGGAAATTTCGTCTTTTAGCAATTAAACAGTCTTAATTCTCATTTAGTTTTATTCTGTTTAGGGCTTGGCACCGACTTCAAACCTATGAATAGGTAGCACATAGAATTGATAGTGTTTTATTATTAATATTAAAAGTATTAGCTTCGCGTACGTAAGAGTGCTATTAAAATATCCATTTTAATTACTTATTTGACACTTTTTTGTTTTTGAAGTCGGTTTTTTTAAACGTAGTTTTTTTTATTTTTTTCTTTTTAGTGTCTGTTGCAAGTTCTTCTGTAAACTACAGTAATATTTTAAATATAAATTAACATATTGAATAGTATATATTTTAAAGTAGCTATGTGTAGGCCAAAGAAATGAGCCGCTCGAATAAAAAATATAGATCCCAAGAAATGAGAAAGTTCTCATCATCATCATCAGCCATTTTAATGTTCCCACTACTGGGACACAGGCTATCTCTCTAGGAGAGGGAAAGTTCTTAACAATATAAATAAAGTCCAAACACGAGGTAGCTACTGCAAACCGGTGAGGAGTTCCCTAGACTGTCGTTCGTCTTCATCATCAGATCCCTAATGACAGTCACAATCCATCAAGGTGTAAAGTTCTTATCAAAACGAATAAATTAAGCTCAAACACAAGGAAGCAGCTATGAATCGTTGAGGAGTTCTCTCGACTGTCTCTTGTTTCCATCCGGAATTCCCTCGACGGTCAATTGTCTCCATCATCAGGTAAACTGCAGACCTTCAGTTGTTATGATACATACCTACAGGTACAAAGTTTTCATCAATATAAATTAATTAAGTTCAAACACGAAGTAGTTACTGTAAACCGTTCAGGAGTTCCCTGAGCTGTCCTTCGTTCTCATCATCAGACCCTTAATGACAGTTACGACCAAGCCTGCTGCAAAGTGCTCACCAATACGAATCATTCAAGCCCAAACACAAGGCAATTACTCCAAATAGTCAAGGAGATCCCTCGACTGTCTTCCAGCTCCAACATCTGGTCGACTTCGACCTTCGTCAAGTTGTAGTGTTGTTAAAGGCCTACTTAAACATCATACAAAAAACCTAATCACCCCTACAATTTTCGAAAGTTCCCCTCGGTTTCTCCAGGATTCCATCATCAGATCCTGACCTCATGATAATGGGACCAAATGGCAAGTATACCCTATCGAATAAAAAAATAATTTTGCAAATCGGTCCAGGCGTCTTCGAGTAATCGGTGTACATACATAAAAAAAAAAAAATATACGCGTCGAATTGAGAACCTCCTCCTTTTTTGAAGTCGGTTAAAAATAATTAGTTATGCCCTTCTTTGTATAACTTTCACATGATTTACACACTAAAGACGGTGGAATCTTTTAGCTGCGTTTTAATAAAATATAAATTTGATGACACTTGACAGCAAAAATATTCTTCGCTACATTCTTGACTGACCAACCGACCATTTTTTAATAAGTCATTATTGTCGTTGTGTTCCGGAGGTTAAGGCGCCGGGCAAATACCAATGTCACTTACTTATTTAGGTAGATACTCTCTATGATAAGGATAAGTTAGACACCACTGTCATACGGTGAATAAAAACATCGCGAGGAAACCTGGACTTACAATTTCTAACTAAAAGTTTGAAATGGCCAATCCGCCTTGAGCAGGCGTTGTGGTTAATGCTCAAACCTCCTTGTGAAAAGAGGCCTTTGCTCAGCAGTTGGCCCTTAAAGGCTGATGATGTGATGTGATCAAATCTTATACATATACCTGCATTAAAAGCACAGAAACGAAAACCTCTTCTTCAATAAGTAAAATCTATTTATTCTCTTGTGTAAAAGGATGGATAGTCGTCAACCAATAAGCGCCAAAAATAACAATAGTTGTATTACCTACCTCGGAACATGGAAACGAGCAAATACCAAATGTACACAATTGACGTGAAAGTAAATGAATTGCCGAGAATAATGAGTTTAATAACAGCTCCCCAGTATTAATCATAATATATTAATACGATTAATTATTTATAGAACGTCGTACAAGTTTGCATAAATGTTATTTCTATACTTTCATTTTTGAATTATTCATACTCACCGCAAGGATCAATATTACGTTTTATATGTTGTTTTTATTAGACCTATAAGATTATAACCTCATAACTGCTAGCTATTTTCAACGTAATACAAATATGTTATTTACGTAAGTACCTATATTACAGAATCATATTTACTGTCAAGTATAAAAAGCATCTTACTCTTCTTAAAAGTTTACCAAAATAAAAGAGAATTAGTTAATATATGTAGTTTAGCAGCTATTGTGTACCTCATGAGGCACTAACGGTTAGCATTTTGGGATTGAATGAGCGACATGTTACGATACAATTGATTTGCTAAATCGAGAACAATTAAAATGCCGATAAACAAAACTAATAATACTGCAAATGTCATCTCAGCTTCTACCAAACATAATTAGGTGTTTTCTCTTCGCATCGGAAGAATCGGCTGACTGAAATAAAGACGGTAATTATAAGTAAGTCACGTTTAAAATTTAAACAGTTAGTAAGCTATCCATATCTCCATCTCGAACGGTTCTAATGATCACTTACAGAAACGCAACAAATCCGCTGACGTGACTACACCATGTAACAAAGACAGCACATTTTTATCAAATTACCGTTGCGTGTACACACAAATTATTCGTACAGACACGAAATGGCTGGAGCTGCTTATAAATGGTCAGAGAAATTGAGTTCGGATCTAGCCTGTGTGATTTACGGGCGTCTCGCGCACGCGCAGAATCAGACCGCGGCGCGCGAGCATGTCCTCCTGCGTTATATCAAGTGTCCATCTGACATGTTCACACCTCATTACCGTCGCGTGTCGTCTTACAGACCGATGCGGTCATTTACAATAGTTTCATGTCCATACCGAACCAATTACTGATGCCTGATGACAATACAAGTGCTGTGTTGACACTTCACAATCACACTAATACAATTAGTAATCGCTAATCTGAACTGACACGTTAACTAATTGCATCGTGTGCAGCCCAATGAGTGCAAGCGATCGGAGCGTGACCGCTTTTCGTCTTTCAATAACAACACTAACCCTTCAGCCATTAACAGACATATTACATTTTAACTGTATCTGGTCACACCGTCCCGTTGAAATGCTTTCCCTGTAAAAGACTAAGTCGTAGTGAGCAAATATTGGATCAATTTCCTGCGAACTTTCAACAAATAGTGCAGTGACAGTGTATCGGTGAACTCGCAGCTTCTCGCCTGACTACAATCAATAGAGAATACGAAGTCTAGAGTCTAGACGCCATATATTTGCTTAATACAAGTTCCGTTTGCAGACGCTTTCTCTTTGCTATGTAACTACACAAAGGAAACTGCAAATCTTATAAGTCTGGAAGAGATAATGAGTTTCATATTTGTAAATATGTGTAACACATTACGCTCAAAATTGGAATTATGCTCGTCTTAATACTCTAGTATTAACCTATCAAGATAATTTCGTAGGAATCTGGTCTATTCACAACGTCGGAAATAAAATTGTGGCGATCATCGTTTGAACTCATTATTGTACTATTTAATTTGTGCATTGTAATGATACGACTCATTATTTTGGTGGTGAAAGTCACGTAACAATTTATAACTAATGTTTATTATTAAAGAATGCGTTCGAACATCATTACTATACTTTCCCAAATCCGTGATAGACACGGCGTCGCGCCGACTTTCCAGCGGGCGTCGATGTTATCTGTTTCATAAAAATGAGGCTCATTTAGCTCGAGCAACAGATATGTGGCCATTTCAGTAATTAAGTGCGCTTTGCT